ATGGCTTTCTTTGAGCTTTCTTTGAAGGTATTTTAATAAAATGGACCTTAGCTGCTCTCTTTTTTTTTCTACAGTGGATTGGGGAATGGAGTTTGTTTTAAAATTGTCAATATTCAGCTTGATTGATTGATTGATTTTTTTTTTTTTTTTTTTTTTTTTTTTTTTTCATTTAGGCGAACAGCGACGGTGACGATTTGTCAACACTCGCATCAGATTTCTAGAGGTGTTTACCACACATGTGATGATGTGTTTCCTGGCGGGTCCATCTCTGGCTTAGACCATTGGCGGGAAAATGATATTGCCATGTGCGCTTGAGAGATTTCATGAGTCGAAGAAGCCGGATAGCTGTAAAGGAACAAAGGACTTTCTCGACTGACAAAAAATTCACGGCCTGAAAATGGCTCCGTGTTGACTTATTTGTTTATTTGCATTTCACGCAGTATGAACGGGGCGTTATCTTCGTAATATAAGATCTTCCTGTTTCGCCGACATAATCAGTCAATCAATCAGTAATCTTTGATTTGGGTTAGTAGATTTAAATTAAACTAGGTTTGTTATCAATCATGCCAATTGTTTTTAACAGGGGGGCAAAAATTCGGAAAACAATTGAGGTCAGCGTTTTTTATCGTTACACGAAGAGTTGAAATATTGGAGCTGAGATACATTCCTTCTTATAGGTTATTATATAACTTAATGTAATAATAACTTTAATAACTTATGAAATGCTGTACATTACATAATGTGCATTACTGTGTTATCTTACTTATACACGTCATGTAGTTACTGTTAATCTTCAATGTTTTGGTTAAGAAAGAGTTAAAATATGGCATCAAAAGCACAGTCATTTTTGCGACTTAACTGCTCTACACAGAGCTGTGAACTCAAGTAGTCCATAAGTAAGTTTATCAAGTAGCTTTCAGGACAAACAAGATAATTCAGTCACCTTTGGTCTTGCAATGCAAACAGTGAACCCTGGAAGTATTTCTGGAATGTTATGTGTTCTTGACTGGCAATTCCAGAATTCTCCTGAAAAGTAAACGCGAAGTAAACGCATGTCCAAGTGCTTGTAAAACGGTCAGTCCTTAAGGATGTCAACTAACTATTTTTCATAAGTGTAATCGTGTGAGAGGCACGATAACGTAATATTTCGTACCAGGAGAGAGTCAATCGGCTAGCTATACATCTGATTAAATGACTTATTTTATACAAGATTCTATACTTCGTTCTTTTGACTTAACTGTTCGTTAGAGAATGTAGTGGGCACCTCAGCCTTAAGGTCAGTCCATTAATACGGCCACCTCGTTATTACGGGCACATTATTCTGGCCCGAACAAAAGCTCAGTCAGTCATTTTCTTATTTAAGGAACACTTTTAATACGGCCACTCCGTTAACAAGGGCAGACTTTTGTGGGCCGTTGGTGACCGGATGAACCGAGTTCTACTGTACTTTGTATAGGGTACAGTGAACAAGAGGGGATTGTTCCTCTAACATATGATTGTAGCAGTATGATAGTATAGTGCAGTAAATTACAGTGTCAACTGATAAGTTGTGTCTGTGACTATGGCTATTTTTCCACACTTGAGATGGTTGTCATCTCGCATATATATGCGCATGCCTTAACGAAGAGTTATTTCATCTCACATATTGTTGTTAATCCAGGACCATCCGGGTTAATTTCTTGTGCCGCAAACGAGTATTGATAACCATTTCCGTTCTGAAAAGGAATTTAATGTTTGCAAACGCCTTGTCTTATGTTTCATAATGTTAATCAAAATGAACAGAATAAAGTCATATTTTTGTGGATAAAGCCGTTGACGAAATTACGCATTCAAAATTTTCTACAACAAGACTCAACGTACATAATTGTAATGCCCGAGTAGGCAGCAAGTTAACGCATTCAAATTCTGTTGAAAACGGCTATGAAATCTAACTAATCCTGAACGTCCGGTACAAGGCCTTTTGTTTCCAGATAGACTTCCTCGATACTCGATATATTGAGAACATATTCTTTCTTTACAACTCAGCCAAGTAAAACGTATTTGTCAACAGTTAATTCATTTTCAGAACGGAAATGATCATCANGACTTCCTCGATACTCGATATATTGAGAACATATTCTTTCTTTACAACTCAGCCAAGTAAAACGTATTTGTCAACAGTTAATTCATTTTCAGAACGGAAATGATCATCAATAGTTATCAATGAAGATGAAATAACTATTATTGAAGACATAAGCGTGATGATAACAACCTCAAGTGTAAAAAAAAACAAAACAAAAAAACAAGAACTCACAGACACCACTTATCAGTCGACACTGTAATTTACTGCGTGATGATAGAAACCTCGGGTGAAGAAAAATAGCTTTAGTCAGAGACACCACTGATCCTGATGGACATTGTAGTTTACTGCACTATCAAACTGTTATGATCATGTGCGAAACCTTCAAATGGATTAAGCTTCTGATGGTTGAATTGCAGAAGGATGATCTACAGATTCCTATAAAAATTTCTTTGGGCAAATAATTGTGAGCGACGCGAGAGCTTTTCAAAGTACGTTAAAAATGCAGATATTTGACCATCCGTCGGCAAATTTCAATTTACGGGTTAGACATATATTTTAGCACGCGCCACATGACTTGACCTATATTAAGTTGAAGTAGACACAAAGCTGGAACGCTACAGTGATTAAATTTGTATTTGTTGATTTCGACGGATCGATTCCCGGTTTCAAAAACGTTTTTATTTCTACCAGTCAGCTTTTCGACATTTGGTGCCTTTTCTCCTTCTTAACAGTCGGAAAAAGTAAACTAAACAAATCCTAAAAGTTTAAATCAGAAATAAGAGACATCAACAGTGCCAGTGTCTCGGTAAGCTAGTAAAACTGTGCTGGACGGATTGCTTTCCAGGTTACGCACATACTGTACATATAGTTAATGTATGCAGATGTTTCTTTCCAAACAACTGAAATGCTCAATAATATTATCTTGACAGATATTTTTTTTCTTCAGTCTTAAAACTTAGGGTTAGGTTAGGCTAACCCCTAGACTGTTTTGGCGGTCAACCTATTTTAGGCCGTCGAGAAAACCAGCAACATGGAACATTCCGGAACATTCCGGAACATCGAATAATTATAATAATTATGAGGAAAATATCTAAAATTAAATTTTCAAAACTAAAATAAACAAAAATAAACTGGTATCAGCTCGAAATATAAAAAGATATTATTGGGAATAGGGGGTCGGTAGGGGCTGGGTAGGGAGCGTTGGGTATTCATTTAACTGACTACAATGAGTGCAGGCTCCTCCTCTTTCCCGCCAATTGCGTCACGTCGCTTCACAGCACTCTGTTTTTCAACACAAACATGGATGATTCGGACGATGAATGCCAGGTAACTCATTGCGTCTCCTTTTTTGATCCCCGATTTCTTCAATATCTGCGGTGTTCGTCTGAGCATCATACAGTTGCTTGTTAAGTCAATAGCCATAGTCTTGTCCCTATTCCATCTTCATGTTGCTATTTATCATCTCCACTTTTCACGCCGCGCCGCTCCGCTAGGAACGCCTGACTGTTCGTCTTAGTATTTATATATCTTAGTTTTCATACATTTTTTGACTTGATAATGACGTTAAGATAACGTCAAAACGTCGTCGATTTTAATTCAGCATTTTAGCTTTTAAATGTTAGAATGCTTTTAAGAAATGTTCTGTTGCAATTTTTTAATGTCAAACACCAAAGTAACCTAATTTAATCGAAATAATTGTTTCGTGGGCAGTTTGAATTCTTCGCCATTCACTTGGAACGAGATATCGTTATCACAGCTAAGAAACCGAAAGTCAATATACTATGCTACACAGCCTCCAAGTAATAACATAAGACATCGCAAAAACATGTATCAAAATCAGCTTGAGTTTTTCTTCGGGTGGTTTTTGAGGCACCGCAAAAAAAGCTACATTACAATGAAAACATCAAAAAGTAAACATTAGACTGCTGCTTTGTTGTTTTGAAGCCAAAAGAGAAAGAGTGTTGAGATATAAAAGCCGGTCGACTTCTTTCACCATTATATCTTCGTTCTGCGGCTCAGGATCCTTCTTTGATCATAAAATAATAAAAGAGGAGTTCATCCTTGGACTAAAAAGTACTCTCAGTCAAGGAATATACGAATCTTTCTACGTTTAACTCGATACCGACGTTGCGTAGATTTCATTATCACGGCGCCGCAATTGTAGACAATCAAATTGATCATAAAATGCTTCGTTGAACACATACTGTTGAAAGAAGGAAACATAACTTTTATCTTTTAAAACTTGTTAAAACAAATTACAGGCTATGAACATTGTTGGTGTTATTTGCTTTAATGTACCCTTCATTTTTGGCATGCTGACTGTACTCTTAGTTGTTAAAATAGCAGCATCGGCAAAGACTGTTGGCAAAATTATCTTCCACGAAGAGTAATTGTCGAGTTATTTCCCAGATGTTAAGGAAAGATGCTGCTGAAAATCTTATTTAAAAGTACGTGTAAAACGCATTTCGTGTAGTTACATCTCAGGTTACCGTGATGATAATCTTGATGACATTTGACAAGCAAAACAACATTGCATCCAGCACGCGAAAGTTTCGAAAGCTCTAAAGCCTTTTTGTCGTTTCGTTATGGAAGCGAAGTGTTCTTTCAACGGTATTCTTGTACCTACGAGCGGAGAGATCGAGTGAAGAACACAGAAGTTATTCCCTTGTTACACTGCAATCGATATATAATACCCACTGTTTCAGTGGAGATTGGGAACCCTTTTATTAGGCGATCCCATAATTTTACACCTGAAATGCTACATAGGTTGCTAGCTATATCTACTGCTCTAAAGGGTTTATTTTTGACCAAAACGTTTATGTGTACCTTGCTGTAGGGGTACAACTTTGGGTTACTAGTCAACTCTTTGAATGGTCATGGTGTACATAACATCCACCTTACAGTTTATATTAATTTTTTTGATTTTTATACTACTTACCACTACTAATGTCTATACTCTTTTCCCCACTTTCAGGTCTCTCTATGGATCTCTTGAATCCTAACCAATCATTACCTTCTCCATCCTTGAACAGTAAAAGAAAAGAACGAAACAAGGTTAGAAAGCAGAAATACAAACTCAAGAAAAAACAACAATAGGGCAAGAAAAAACCGAATAAA